TTCTTCTTCTTCTTCTTCTTCTTCTTCTTCTTCTTCTTCTTCTTCTTCTTCTTCTTCTTCTTCTTCTTCTTCTTCTTCTTCTTCTTCTTCTTCTTCTTTTTGCAGAACCGGGGATTGAACTCAAGACCCTGTACTTGCCAGGCAAGCACTTATTCTACTGAGCCTTCTCCCTGGACCCTGTGCTCCACCTTCTATGGTCAAAAACCAGGTCAGTAATGTGTGGCTTTCAGAGGGGACTGGGTCTGAAATTGCTGGCATTAAGTCCAGTGTTATGCTTGAATTCCTCCCCTGCTTTCTATAATCAGCACAGAGCTTAAGGGTCTGCTTGTTTTCCATCTACCAACATAAGCAAGGATAGGCCTCAGCTTGGATAGTTGCCATAATCTTGGGTGTAGGGACAGAGGGACCCCGAAGCAAGGCGGTATAACTCACAAACCCACAGGACATAAAGCTAGGCAGAAAAAGCTGTGATTTTGTGCACACAAAGGGATACGCAACAGGGAGCTGCCTGGTATGACTATACCCCTAGAAGGAGAGCCACTGACTGACCATGCTCAGTGAGAAAGATGGAGCAGGATTCAGCATTCATATATAAAAGTGTGAGTGCGGAAAGAAAATGGGTCTTAGCAGTGACTCACTCCCCCCTCTCTCCTGCTCCTTATCTGATAGACTCCAACATTGTAGACCCTAGAAAGAAACCACTCATTCAAATGCATAAGGAATTTTTTAAAAACACATTTTGGTTTCCTCTTCCCCTTTCCTTCTCCTTCTTCTTCATTGGCTTTGGATTTTTTTCTTTTCTTTTTGCTTTCTGCTTCTTCTCTTTTACTTTTTCATGTTTGCTCTTTTCTGTTACTTTTGTCTAATTCTATTAATTGTCTTTTACTCCTTAATAGGATCTCACTTTCTCTCCTCATCTTCCTTTCTTTTATAGTTCAAACTTTACTTTTTTCATTTTTCCCTTCCCCATCCCATCTTTACTAGTATTACTATTAAGCCTTATTAATCTTTAGAGATTTAATTGACACTACATTATTATTGGTGAATTCTTTTCTATTGTTTTTCCCTATAATTTTATTGAGAAATAAATAGCAATGAGACAGTTTCAAATCAAATTGGTAAGACAGTTTCAATAATTAACACATTGCATACTCTCTTCCTACTAGTTATTTGCTGTACAAGATGCAGACATGATATCCTATTTACAAACACTATTAGAACAAATCCCTCTATTCATTAAGAGAATGTAACTATATATCTA